TGAGATTTACAATATTATGATTATAATCGAATTATTAAAACGTATTCGATCATGTATTCATCAGTCGACAGAGCACACCATAGAAAGTCTATGCGTTTTGGGCGCCTTATAATTATATTTGGCGAATTCGTCGTCATAATAATATATCAATTGTAAACACCGCGACACATTATTATTATATATACTATTTATTAATACGAAGGCGTGTGATATCGTAATTGAGTCATTGTAGTCTTCGGTTCATGCAAATCTGTTACGGTTCTCTTTAATATACAATTTGGACAAAGCCCAGAATTCAGATTATTTTTGTTGTGGCGCCTCATTATTGTTCCTTTCACTCGATATAATAATATTTGCCCTTGCATACCTGCATACGAATATAGGCTCGCCCACAACACCCGAATAGTGTGGACAATTGATGGATTTTTACTATTTTAGAGTGACTTTATTTCGTAACGTCCATGTAGGTACTGGCCCATGATACACGAGTGTGATTTAACACTGCTGTTATACTTGAGAACGATCTGGGCGAATTATCGTTGCGGATATTATCATTAACATTTTTTTAAATCATAAATTGTTAAATTCACTCGCGTGTGTGCTGAAGTATTTGTTAGGATAAAATGAAAATAGGTTCCCACATCCATATTTATTAGACATGTTCACAGCAGATGACTATTATTGGCGCTGGTCCAGTTAGAATCCACTACAAACGGCTATACAAGAGCATTTTACATGCACTTTTACTTATGTCCCGAGGAACACATCCATCCGATAACGGGATCGTATACATAACAAACCGAATTAGGATGGATCATCTGTGCAGGTAATATATATACATAATATACTATTATACACTTTTACTTTACATGACAATAATGCAGATGATGTACTGAGGCGATGCCAATCCGATTTTCTCGACCTCGGTCAAAACGTGTATTAATATAATATTATACGATAATATTGATGGCGCCTATAATAACGTCGCATCGATCATTTTCGCAGACGAAATATTATGGTCGACGGTTGGTTACTTATACTACTATATAGAAAGGTAGGTAATAAAAACAAACTGCAAATATCATAAATCACCACCTACATTCGTAATTTTGAGGTCTTGAGGAAGTCTTGAAACCATAATATTGGTTATCCAATGATATGAATTTTCTATCCACTTTCATCTTTTAAATTGTTAACATCCTGTTTACGATGCGAATATAATATTATATTAATACTGCTTCTCGGTATACTTAATACTGAACTTTTGGTACTCGTCTATTCCAAAATTCCGGTGAACTCGGAATTTCTGAGAATCAACCACTTCATATCAACTCTCACTCTTTGCGTATTAGCTTATTGTGCATCTTATGTATATAGACTGTTCATTTCAAATAAAAAATAAATATATAAAACATAACGTTATACAGTACGTTGAACTGATTATTGCCAAAAGCAAACTACATATATTATATAATGAGAATTACAGTATATTATTGCATATAAAATTACTACCTAGCTGTTGTTATAACTAGATTAAGTCAATACCACGACGTAACCGCATCTAGAACGGTGTGAGTAGGTTAGTAGTGGTGTAAATAGTTTAAAATTAATATAAATAATTTTAAAAATTGCATTGTTTATAGTAATTAATAATATACGTAATTGCGAAAAGTTTCAATTCCCTGGGAATAATGTTTTTTTGAATTACAACAAAACAACTAAAATCGTTATTTTTATTTGAAATAGGTATCTAATTTCATAATAGAGTTTGAACTTGAAATTTCTAAGGTCTATAAAAATGTTTGTAAATATGCATTTTCGATACTTTTTGGCTGCTGAAAGGAAAACTTATGAAAATATTTTTATTACATATTTTCCAACCTTCATTTATTAGATATATGTATTATGTATGTTACAATTCAAAATTGAATTATTTTTTGAAGAATTTTGTCAAAATATGAACTGATTTTTTAGAAAAGTACAAGAATTTTTTTTTTACTTTCAACACCAAAAAGGATCAACTACATTAAATTTTTTACCAGAAAATAGATACAGCTCTAGAAGTTGAACATCGAATTATTTTTTCTACTATGAATATGTTTTTGAGTACAAAAAAAAACAACTTCGTTTTTAAACCAATGCATTCATCACTCCACTCGGAATTTAAAACATGTATATATATATTATACATATGTATATAATATTTACTGTGTAACGTTTGATTAAATGTTTTAGTATCTTTCTTCATATTTACGAGTCATCTCGTTTTTCATTTTATTTAAATAATACTATAGTTCACCCACAGAATTATCAAAAAAATAATAGAAATCTAATATCATTCAAGTAAATATACGCTTTTCAGTAAACTGTTTAGACGAACAATATGTATGTAGGTACAAGTGTTTATCTTATTGTTTTGTAAGGACTTAAACTATTGTAATATGCGTACACGGGTATTATATAATACGCGTCGTCACAATATGATAATCTTGAAGACTATCACGATCTGAAGCGAAAAAAAAACAAAGAATGATGACACACAAAATACTCGTTTAACAGAATATGATCTTGACTTTTATTAAATGTTTTACATAAATAAAGGTATTATAATATTCTATAGTAGGTACTAGGTAGGTATATTGACAGTGTCTGTATAGTGTCACCGGCATTGGGATTGGGGTGTTGATACTTTTATAGTGCAGCATTTGTCAAGGTTTCTGATAATATAATGTCAAAGCTACGGAGTAACAAACAATAAATTGATGGTAAACCAGTTGGATGTTATGAAATAGTCCAAAATACACGCGTGGACAGTGCGACTCATGCAAAAATAATGCGTCGAGGATTATTGTTTGATAATTGTATAATTTTGGCAATGGATACAAAATATGATAGTCAAATATTTGGATGTTGCATCATACTACATCTCCCTGGCTCAAGACATCATATTATTTAAGGGGTACCTACATGATATTTTAAAATGTAAGTTATTATTTTATTAGTTGTTTCTTGAATTCATGTTTATAAATATGTATAACTTGCAATACGCTAATACAAAACACATTTGTATTACTACTAAAAAGGTATTGAAAACGGAACACATCAATAATTCGGGATAATATCGATTATTATAAGTAACAATTAGGTTTTTTAAAAAAGGTTATTTATTTTGATTATGAATAAAGGTTTTTTGTGTTCTATATAATATGACATCAATTACTATGTTTTACATCATACACAAAATATTAAAAGGGGTTATTTTTCAAAGCAATTGATCTAATATATACCTATATACATTTTCCTACGTTTTATTTATCGTTAGATATTATTTATACAAATTATGCATTTTATTTTGATGCTGATGATCTTCTTTTCACATTTTTCGCTCAAACATATTATAAATATAATTATACATCTGTACCTAGCTATAATGTTATTAAGATAATTTATTTTAAGTATAAATATACATGTCACAAAAGTAAAATGCTTTTGAACACTTTGAAAAATACGGGTTTACGTGTAAAGTATTTCGAATGTAAAGGTTTTAAATGATCATTGGATTATTAAAAAGAGTATACCCACACACTATATTTCATTATATAACCATAATCCGTAGTCGAAAACTTGAAAAATTATTCTCTTAATTAAAAATACAAATTTAATTTGGAAAATGTTTAAGTATTTCGTTAAATAAAATAAGACAGGCGTTAAATAATGACCGTGTCAAACACTTTTAATTTACACTTCTGAAGTTTTGAACGTGCAGTGTATGAGTAAAAAAAACTGTAGTACCTAAATAAAACGAATCTAATACATTATTTAAAATAATTAATAAACAAATAACACATAATATTGCTGTCAACGATAATTGATACTAAATACTAATAGGCACCTTTGGGGTTTTAGCAATGAAGTAAATATAAAATTGTGTGTAATTAATCTACACGCTGTATAAATAATAAAATATTTTATTATATTAATATTATTATATTAGCCAAGTTATATGTTATATTATTATGGGTAATTTAAACAACAATATAAATATACAACCAGATTTCTAATTACTTAAAAGTAGGTAACTACTTTTTTTTATACGTGTAGGTACTTACTGTACTTACAGCATATTATAATAGCTAAAACAAATAGGTTAATGTACCACTATGGCACTATTATTCTATTTGCCCGTATAATTATTGTAATTTATAATCATTGAAAAAGATAATTCTACATATTATCCATTTGAAAAACAATAATATGGTAGGTAGTGTCATTATAGTAATGTGACCAATGATTTTAAAAGTATATTGGAATTATCATAAAACGTTGTAATAGATTACCTGTATAGGCTATAATTTATACGAAGAAGATAAAGAGAGGATAGGAAACTGTTTCCTATACCTACGTGGTTGCGTATACTCGCGTACGTCTTTTATGCCCGTTGGTCATTAGTAGTTACAGTTATTTCGTAACACTAGTTTCCTAAGCATTCCAAATGTAATCATTCCATAATATCGTATCCTCTATTATAACTTGTAAGTAATTATTATTACTAATCGCGCTTATAAGATGGCATTCTGCATGATGCACGTATAAATAATATGTATAATGAGAATTAAGACTTGAGAGTTGAGAGAGAATATACGAGTGGACGGGACGATCCGATGAACGATAGAAACAAATTGATTAAGCCAATTTTCTCTAATAAAAAAATCTTTAAATATGTGTTCACTTGTTATAGTATACAAACAAATATGCGTGTACTCGAAGAAAGTTTATGTGCAAACGGTTATATATATACTTCGTAATCAACGCGAATAATAATTTTGGCAAATCTTTCCATTTATTATAATTTATCATGAATAGCATCACGAAATCTGCATCAATATATACGATAATATAATATAAGTACCTACAGTGCATAGTATTATGTACGTAGTTGCATTTAACATAATATATGGCGGAATATTTGTTTATAATTTGTTTTTATACAGGTACAGAAATACATAACGCACTGCCGCGCCGGTGACTCTCGAGTGTCGACGATCAGTTAGAAAAATTATTTTTTTTGAACAGTTTAGAGTGTTATTAAGTAAGTACCTGCGTATTGCGCGCGGATGTGTTCACCTTTAATATCTTATGCAATCACTTTATAAAAGTATTTGAAACTTATTAGATTTTTGTTTACTCTTTTAAAACCGTATAGTTTACACGGTTTGGATCGGGTTCGTAAGGTCAAATGTGGAATCGCCAGCTCGCGGACAGGAAAAAGAAAAACGCATAAATTGTTGTCAGTGAATATAATAAACATTACATTATTTATATTATTACAATATCATACCCTCATTGAACATGCAATTTATAGGAGGAATGCAGTTAAGACTTGCATCATAAAACTGCAACGTCGTGTAAAAGATATTATGTTTAAACACATTTTTAAACCTATCGTGTACTTACTAATATATAGTAACTTATATTGTTTGTAATACATTATTACCTATACTCGGAGTCGGAGAGACGATTGAAGGCACAAAACAAGATGTATATTTTAATTATCGCAGTCGGCGATTTCACAAACAGAAAAAAACGAAAACGGACACCGTACGTATATTGTTGTAGCTAATAAGACATATTTTTATTTTTTTCGTACAATAGTTGCTAGATAGATAATACGCTTTGCTATATGCAGTGGCCAGTGTCGTTACATAATAGGTAGGTACCTACGTACAGTATATAGACGGGTATTATAGGAATTGCAAAGACTGAAATACGGAGATAGGACGAGGCTGAAGAATAGTAAAAAGCCGATAGTGTGTCAAGTCGCAACGACACAATAATTTATTATTTTTTCGTTTGTCGCTAAAAATTAGTCTCGACGTCGTTCGCCCATCAATTCAGTATATTTCCGGCTGTCTGCGAGTATATTATTATTATTATTATTATATGTGAAAACGCGTACATGTATAATATATAGGTACACGGTGATGACGAAAACGTTTCCTGCCCACCGACGTCAAAACTATAGGTAAGCGTTACGACTAGTGTGTGTGTGTGTGTGTGAGTGTGTTTCTTCATTCTACATAACGTACGCACTTCTCCGATCAATCGCGACGATTCGACTTTATCCTCTAATATCAGCCCAAGGTGTAATTTCACTCTCAATATATTATGACGTCTTACCAAATGGATTAAACTCATCAGCCGTTAGCCGTAGTTGTTATATATTTTTTTCTATATAAAATACGAGTAAATAACCCCATAATAACAATGTTACTCATCGACTCGTATTTTTATGCGGCTACAGGGATTTTCTTTTTGTCGATAATCTAGCCGTTTTGTCCGGTTGATACTCCAAAGTAGGTACCTATTGGGTCTCAGTGTTCGAAGTGGCTAAATAATTGGTGTTGAAAACTGAAGCGTAGTATTGTGATGGGAACATTTTGTATAGGACGACTAGGTGGCGTAACTGGGTAAAAAACCATGGGGGACAAAATAATTTATTCACCAAAATCGAAACCATAAATTAATTGTTTATTTTTACACAAGCCTTAAAACTCATTTTATGGCTTTGAAATAACCCGTAGGTAGTTACCCATATCGTTAAATGATATTAAGTACATAAAAGTTTATTAAAAAACAGGTAGGTATGCTATAACCTTATTTGAAAAAAATAATGTATTGATAATCCTGTTCCTGTGATCGTATAATTCATGAAATAATATTATTGGGTTACTTTTGTAACTGCGATAACTGCAATAATACGTCAGCAAATTATACAACAAGATAAACATAAAATAAATGTACATTATACTTACACGAAATAATTTGAGGGCAAAAATTATTTTAAACTTATAAAATATGTTTATTATACATTGCATTCATTCTTTTTTTTTAGAAGATTTAAAGATTTATACGCTTGGCATATCAGTGGGAGGAGGAAATGATAACTTTACCCCCTCAGAAATTTCAGGGTACAAGTGCCCTCTTGCCTCTGCTCCTCAATTATGCAATTCGCCATTGTATTACGTCAACGATTTTATTCAGGTGATGAATTTAAATTTAAAAATAATACTATTATACACATGGTATTTGTGAATCTGAGCATATGATTAGAATACATAATAATATAATATTATTGATTTGTGATTAAAACAGAGAATTCTCACAAAATTATAAGTAGGAGTAAATATTATGCGAATGGAAAAAAGTGGAGGGGCTTGTTCTTAATAGTTCCCACTTTGATTATTCAGTGTTTTAAACAACTTTTTGCACTACGTAAAATGCTCCTCTTACAGTTAGAGCCGTTAGAGGTGGTTGCGATTGGTAATAATTGTTTGCGGTCGACGAACTTTTCGTTGAAATCACTGCTCAATGCAGCTGAATGTTGAACTACTTCGATTATTATAATTTATATATTAAAGCGGCCATTATTATTAATATATAGTAGTATACATATTACTTACATAATAATCTACATAAATTAAACTTTCTCGAAATAATACAGCCGGTATGAAATTTTTCTAACAACATATTATATTTTAATTAAATATTTAAGGTATATTAAAATAATAGTATTTTAATATTGTACATGGTCTTCCCCACTTTAAATGAACATTAATTCATCGTCATGCTCGGTCCAACACTTTGACAGGTGACCCCGTGCCAGTGCGATTTAATTATTGCGCAATCCCAAAATATGTATTCAAAAACATGCTTTCATAATAAATTTCATTTTCATTATTGTGTTAAGTGTTGGTTAGGCTCAACTTAAAAACACAATTCAAACGCCTACATATATAATAGACAGAGTAAAAGATTTTTATAACAATTTCTCGAAAGCACAATATGATGTTTAATTTTAAATCAACTGATATAAACAGATGAAAAATCGTATTACTGTGTTATTAACCCATTAGCGCCGGAGTTTTTTTATTTATAATTTTAACCAAAATTTTGTTGAAAACGTATATATTTGACCTTAAAAATAATTGTAAAAAAAAAAAAAATGAAATATTTTCATTTGTTTTTGAGATAAAACACGTTGCCATATGGCAACGCTAGGAGCTTATAATAACTTTTATCACGAAAATACAATTAATTCATCTTGTAATATTTTTTTATATTTGTTTCCAATTTATAACATAAATATATACATATAATATACTAAACTATGTTTGAAAATACTTTATAAGTTTAAATATAATATTGAATATAAGTAAAAAAAAAATTTTTATTATAGCTTGCACAATACACTTTTTTTATTTAGCTTGTATGGAATGGTATAAAACAATCGATACATAATCCTACATTGCATTTTGAGCACATTGTTCTCATAATTGACTTACAATTCTTTCCAGCACACCTTTTCTTTTTTTTATCTTCAGTTTGTTTTACCATATGATCTATTTTGTCAAATCTGATTGAGTCTGAAACCCGACAATCAGTCGAAAATGTTGATTTTGATGGTCTTCCGATTGCTTTTGGCTTAGTTTGATAACTTCGTAAATAAACATTTACGATTTCTCTTTTGAAATCAAGTTGATTAATTTTTGTTCCCCCTGCTTTGTTGTATAAAATCCAACTATTTTGGAGAGCTACATCGAACATCCATGTTATCAAAGGCCAGTACCATTTTTTCCCTCTAATACCAATACGGTAGCATGCGATATTCTGGTCCATTTGATCCGTACCGCCCATATACGTATTGTATTTTGCAATAAGTCTTGGTCTTGGGACTAATACATTTCGTTTTTCTTTTTGCGAAAATCGTTTTACTTGTCCGACATGTTGAGAACCACACGACGATGAAATCATTGTAACGACGGCATTGTCCATCCAACGTAGATACAATAGTCCATCATTCCTCTCCATAGCAGTCTCAAAATATCCACGATTTTTTTTTTTAAATTCTGTTTTGTTTGTCAATGGGCAATTTTTTGGAATCCTATTATCACGAATTGTACCAATGGCACTATATCCACGAAATCTCAAGAATGAAAATAAAGCGGGACTTGAAAATAAATTGTCCATATAAATATTATATTTTAATTTTCTTTTATTATCCGGAATTTCATCTAACAATACCAAAAGTGGGCTAGCAGCCTTACCAAATAATTTTTCATAATCAGAATTCGATTTGAGGTTTTTGCCCTGATAAAGATCAAAATTCACTAGATAACCATCCTTTGTGTTCAGACACCATATTTTATACCCAAATCGTATTGGTTTTCCCCTGATGAATTGCTTACAGCTATGCCGTCCAAAGTATTTCACCATACTTTCGTCGTATGCCAAATGCTCTTCTGGTACGAAATTATCAACACATCGTTTTTTCAACATTTCCATAAAAGGGCGAATTTTCCAACCCTTGTCATTCTGGTTAATTTCTGTATTATTAGAACAGTGAAAAAAACGACAAATTTGCAAAAACCTGTCTCTGCGCATTGATTGGGATACAGCAATATTTTTCATGTCATCACCATTATCCCAATAATGACGTTTTGATGGTAAATCATTATAGCCACTTACGTACAAAATTGCCAAAAAACATCGAATTTCGTTGACAGTAATATTGGGATCGGGACAATTTAAAAATAATGCGTAATTCTTGGTTTCTACTACAAAATGTTGTATTATTTCATCGTCAATAAACTTTTCGAAAATTTCGGTTATGGACATATTTTGATATTTTGAGTAGTCGGGTTTAGGAAATACAGTTGTCGTTTCAATATCAAAGTCGGCCTCCTTTATCCAACACGGTTTACGTTTCGATTTTATACGAGTGCTCATCCACTTTTTATATTTATCCGATAACTGATTAGGTCCTACGATTGAAGTTTCACGTGTAGTATGAACTTGAGAAATATTATTTTGACTGACTTCATAATTAACGCCTAAACGTTCATTGTTTTGAAACCGAATTTCAGCATTTGCTAACAATTGCCGAGAACTGAGATTGTCAACGAAACTAGTTGGGAAAAATGGTATTTTTATAAATTTGGTTATGAATAAAATGAAAATAAATAAGGGACTTACCCACTCCCATCCTCATCTGCGGAATCTCCATCTGACTCAACATGAGGATAAGGAGGTTCAATAAAAATATCTCCCTCTATATCTTCATTTAAAAGAATATCTAACGCCTCGGAGAGTGAAAACCCATTTCTAATCGAAAAAATGAAAATTCTATTAAAAACAGTCCTATAAACGCCTAGTGTTGCCAAATGGCAACATTGAACTTCAACCTTATATAAATACGTGAATGTTAGTATTTATTTATTTTTTTGTACGTAACTATATAGATAATATTGTACTAAATGCGTTTTACATAGAAAAAAAAAATTATATACAATAAAAGTATTCCAAAATTTACTTACTCGAAAGAAAGATCCATTTTTCGTAGAACGACGGCAATGCACAAAGTCAAACAACGATATAACCAAAATGATAATAATAAACGGAATCGATTTTACCCGTATCTTATCTTGAAATAATATACTATTACATAATGTTATTGCCGCAGCAGTAGGTACAATTCCCAATGAGAAATAAACTTCTAAAAATAGGTCTACCTATGATGCCATATGGCAACGCACGGCGTTAATGGGTTAATATTATTATTTTTAAATTGAGTTTTTCAAGTTTAGATGGATAATCTATTTTATTATCAAATAGTTTAATAAGAACATTAAATTTTCAAGTATTTTCTTCTATTTTTTGGAGCGGACATAATATTATATTATATTCGATGCGTGCTGGTATTTTTATTTTAAATTTAAAATGTCTGAAACATGAATTCGTATTTTTTGGATTCCAACGATATGCGGATATTTTAAGTCTTAACAAATCTTTGCTTAATCTAAACAAACATTTTTTTATTTTTGGTTTTAAAAAGTTGTAATAAGAGTCTAAAAACAGTACATATATATAGGTAGGGATTTTAATTGATTGGTTATTGTTAGTGTTGTTTACTTTAATTAATTTCTATCAAATAAAGTCTGCGCAGTAACCGCAAGGCTGTGACATCGAAAACGAAATAAAAAAATTATCTGGCTGTATAAAAGTATACCCAATATACTTTTATGCACAATAATTTTTTATTAATATTATGAATAATTTAATAAATTCAAGTATAATTCAACGCAATAGAAATATTTATAATTTTCAATAGAACAACTGAAGAATATAAATGTGTAGGAGTAGGTATTTCTGTATATATTAGAATATGTGGGAATTATTTTTGTTTTCAAAACAATTTAACATTATTTTTCTTTCAATTTAGCATACACAACAAAGTGAATTAGAAAAAAATATAAAAGTGTAGGTACGTGACCATTTTTGTAAAAGCCTACTCGAGGGCATTTTATAGTTGATAATCTAAAAAAAAATAGTTGATAAATACGTGAATTAAATACGTATTATTGATTTTATGTCTAGCTTAACGTTATAAAAAGGTGCAGCATTATATTAAAATTTAAGGGTCTTTGGACTTTGAGAATACTATTTAACGATTGTGGGTAGGTACTGTAGATTATGCATTCTAATTTTGTTCCATCGTTATATTTTTTTAACTTTACATTTATGAGAATATTTTATTTATACGCCGTGTAGTACCATTCAATGATTCAATGTATACAGTTTATATTTTAAAAATATTTAAACGGGAAAACAAAAACAAAAAAACAAATAGTCTTTTTAGCTTTAAGTTTAATTTTGTTAATAACCATTGATTGTATTCTTATTTCTAAGTGTTGATAGAATAAAATTAGAAAACAATAAATATATATATTAAATACATCCAAAGACAGTAAGAAGTATTATAAAATTAATGTGTGTATTAAATAATAAATAATAACACATTAAAAATGAATTTACCCAGTTCAAATTGTAAGCATACATTTCACTTATGATTATGAAAGTGGATTTCCCTCTTACTCTTACTCTACGACAGGTTGGTAAATGTACTATTTTGATATTATTTCATAAAAAAAAAAATTAGTCGTTTAATATGGATATATCACATAATAATAATATAATATAGTCCATTGGAAATAAAATATGAATTAATAAAATAATGCTAAATTATATTAATAAAAAACTATTTTTTACAATATGTTTTTATAGGTACAGGTACATAATATGATTTATTATATCTAAACAATCTAAATTATATAGCTATATAATTAAATAATTTGTACATAACTGTTATTACTTTATAATTATGTTTTAAACATATTAATGAAGTCATGAATTTGGTTTTAATTTATTCAATCATTATTATCTTATTTTAATTTAAACGGTTGTAAATAATTATAAATTTGTTTATTTTATAATCACCTGCTATGCAAAATACTTTTTTTTATTCAAACATCCATTACATATCATAATATGTAAATACTTTCCTATTTTTTATTTTGTCAGGATAATAATTAATAATATACCTGTACGATAGCACTATTTTCTGGCGAATTTTATTATAATGAAAAACTATTAAAATTATGATTTAACGTATTATTTTAAATTGGAAAAAAAGATAAAATTAAGGTCATCGTCATGTCTAGTAACCAGTAGTTAAATGTTTTAATTAAAATAACATATACCTAATGACAATAATTAATCGGTTCACAGCATTAATATACAACTCCATAGTTTATAGTAAATCATGACGTGTATTAAAAATTAAAATTAAAAAGTTTGTTATAAAACAAACAATAACGATGGTATAATATCGATGTAACAGTGGCGTAGCCAAGGGGGAGGCTGAGGGGGCTGCAGCACCCCCCGAAATGTTAATAAAATTTAAAAATTATTTTAATGGTTATGGTATTCGATCAAAAACTAAACCACCGCTGCGTAAAAAATTGATCACCTCCCCCCCCTCCCCTCCGAAAAAATCCTGGCTACGCAGCTGCGATGTAATATATATATATATATATATATATATATCGATCATGTTTTGTTGTGAATATTTTAATGTTATAAATCACCTGTCATTAATATTATGTCAAGTGAATAATATATAGTTAATATACATACAAATACCGAAATGAGAATTTTTTTTCAATTACCTACAAAAGTTTTTACACATTTTCCATTTTTCATACACCGTTTGATTAATTATTAGTACATTTTAATATACATTTTAATAACATATTATAAACTGTATAGTTATTCAATGATAATAATGTATATCATTACGACGTCTATGCGTTATCTAGATCAAAATTTAACTGTCATGCAAAATAAACACAATACTCGCGAAGAAGAGAAAAGCACACTGCGGAACGATAAAGCGCCGAGTATACATTTCACGGTGAATAAACCGAGGATTTCCCTATTTGGATTATACGACGTATTATTATGCGCATTTCGTACAATTATTGTTCTATTAAAAATGTTACGTCTTTGAACATTTTACAACAAAACAGTTTAAGATAGTTATCAGCCTAAAAAAAACTATAAAATCCGGTATCATCTGTGTATACTTCGATAAATTATTAATTGTATCGATCTCGTATCGGAAACAAATTCTTTTCCTACATTTCAAATTAATTTTCAACATATTCCGTAGTTTTATTTGCGGTTTATGTACTGAATACTTATTAGTACTCACATAGTCACAACGTATACTGTGTTTTTATTTATAGTATTTTACAATACTTGCATATTATAATATCTTGTAGTAATAATTTATGAGATGATTATTATTTTATATATTATATAATAATATCTACCTTATGAGTTGATAATAACTAAAAATTGTTCGTTTAAACAATTACATTTTTATTATTATCTATAATTATATGTTACTGGTAAACTGTCTAAAGATAGGAAATTCCGATATAATAACCCGTACAGCTGCGTACCCTATGTCAGCAATATGAATAATCTACTGAAAATTAAACATATTTGATAGTGGTTGTGAGCTATATTATGTTAATTGTTAAAACATTATAGTTAATATATATTTTTTTTAATTAACGTAACTAAAAATGGGGTAAACAGTAGACTGATAGTGGCCACGGACCAGAAGTATTAAGAAAACTGTCGAACATTCTAACCAGTTGAGTAGCCAGGGGGGTGTCTTGGGTGTTGAAACAATCCCTTAGGCCTTATTTATGCAAAAAAATAGACTTACTGCATTAGTTTATAATATATATATGCTTTAGATTTCTACAAAATATGTTGCCATATTATGATTTTATAGGTTATATTTCATACTATCAATGATATGAAGATTGATGAGTACAATGGAACCTCAAGTTATATTTAAATACAAAATTGAAAAAAAAACCCTTAAAAAACCCTGGTTACGCGCCTGACTCTATATACATTAACCGAGTCAATACAAATCATTTTTTTTATGTAAAATATGTGTAAGATTACATTTTTGATTTTTGTGAGTGTTTACATAGAGATTTATAAATTGATTATGTTGTAACACACTGCATGACACACTTTGTGTTTTATTTTGTTATTTCGTATTCATGCGATTTTAGTATTTTACTGTACTATACATGGCGTGTATACAATATATAGTGCTCATAAATTTAGGGAATACTGAATTTCTCGGCCGGATTATATTGGAATAAATCAATTTTTTTGAACGAGCTAGTGGTCTATAAATATACTTTTTCAAATAAATTTCAAATTTTTAACCCTCTTGGTGATACGCGCATGCGCAATACAACTTGCATTTTTTTAAATGGCTACTGGTATTTTTGATACCAAATTCGGATAGACTGAATTTTTTTAAGTCAAAACGACCTCTTAACCATGGCTCTAAAACCAAAATTTACTGAATGAGAACCATTTAAATTTGAATAAATAATACATTTTTACGATTCCTTGAAATGCATAAAACCATTTATAATCATTTATTATATAGGTTACTTTTTGAATATTTTTACTAGTTATAAATAAGATTAACATAATATTGGTATACTTAAAACAGGTTAAAAAATTGTTTCAAAAATATCGAAACTAAATATTGAAAATTCTACTTTCCGTTATTGCTTTTTTTTACATGGAATTAAATCATTAATAAATCTATAAACTCAATTAAAATTGTACTACTAGTATCTAGCAATAATATTAGATTATTTAAATTGTAGTTACTTACTAAAATTACTAATAAATGGTAACAAACATTTTTATTTTTTTTTGAAAGTGACATATTTATATTTTACGAACGTAATGAGATGATATATAATTAATATTATAATATTTACTTAGGTTGTACTATACACTATACAGTTATATATATTATGTTATTTTTACCATCCTATAATCATTACAAATTATACATGCACTTGTAAACTGTATTTATGTAATAAACAACAGGCAACATCTACATATAACATATAATTATTTATTTTTAAAAATAATTTCGATTTCAGATTTAAAACGAAAAAGCTATTTATGTAATATATTATGTTTTTTTTTCGTATCTAGTTTTTCTCTACATTATCGTATATCATTATCTATAGTATATTAGTACTTGTTTTTTTTAGTAAATAAATAATAATAAGAATTGAATAAATATTTTTTCAAGAATATATTCAGATGTTAGTAGTGTAGTTCACA